ACCCCCCCCTCTCACCCCCCCACCCCCCTTCGCTTCCCCCCCCCCTCACCCACCCTCCCGCACTGCTCCCCTCCCTGTTTGTTCCCCGTGTTTTTTCCCGGGGCCTTCCCCCATCCCTGCCCTGACCGCAACCTCTTCCACTCCATTCCTCTGTCCGTCCCCCCCACCCCCCCGCCCCGCCCCCCGCCCCACCCACACCCCGCCCTGCCTCCACCCCCCCACGAGCCACGCCCCTCACATCCCGCACAGGCCTACCCTCTAAACCCCCCACCCCCCCCTGCCCTACCCCACCCGCTGCCGACCCCCCCCTCCGCCAAGACCTCCCCTCGCGGATGAGGCAATCATTTACAGGGTCCAGTACACGCCCGCCTTTTTCGTTTTTTCCGCCCTTCCCGCCCTTCCCCCCACCCCCCTCCCCCACCCCACCCCCCGCCCCCCTACCCACCCCACCCGCCCAACCCCCGCCGCCCCCTCCTCCCCATCCCCATCCTGCAGGCCTTCCCTCTACCAGCTCCTCCGCCCCTCATCCCTGCCCGCTCCACCTCTCCTACCCTTTTTCCCCTGCCCCCCCCACGACCCTTCCCCTTCCCAACCATTCCACTCCTCCTGCCCTGCCCCTCTCCTCTCCCTCCCCACCCGTCCTCCTCCCCCCCGTCCCTGACCTCCCACCCCACACACACCCACCTCCTCAACCCCTCACATGCCACCTCCCCCCACCCCACCCCCACCCCCACCCCTACCCCAAACCCTCCCCCCCCCTCGCCTCGACCCTACCCTTCCCGCACTGGCCCCGCCACCCCCCCTCCCCAGCCCCCCTGCCCCTCCTCAATCCCTCACCTACTGCGTTCTCCAAACCCCCCCCCTCCGGGAAGAAGGGGGGGGGGGGAAACGAAGGGATAGGGTTTGGGCAGCTTGGGCGTTTGCCTCCAAGGGGTCGGCGGCACTGGCGGTAGCCATTAAATCGGGCAGCGCGAGGTCCCCAAAGGACCGAGCAAATGCGGACCTTTTAGCCCGGGTCGTCCCGGGAATAGCCTTGCTGGCCTCTGGCCTTCTGCGAAGCAGAATTAGGCCGGACGCCAGTGCCGCCGACCCCCGCGTGCCGCCGGTGAACGGTTTTTTTTTCGTGGTTTTTTGCGTCGCCACGGAGGCCCCCCGAGGGCGCGCATCATCAGCATCAGCGGGTCCAGCCCGGGACCCCCAGCCGCGCATCAGGAGCATCAGCGGCTCCCGGGGCGGGACCCCGGGGGCGCATCAGGAGCATGATGCCCCCCAAAGGGCGGGCATAAGCGACGTGTCTAAGCCCGGGGCTAGGAAAAAGGGAGTTTAGGGGCCTTATAACGTGCTTAGAAACGTTAAGGGAGTCTAGGAGCCTCAAACGCTTAGAGATTTGAAGGGAGTTTAGGGGCCTGAAAATGCTTAGAAACTTAACGCTTAGAGATTTTAAGGGAGTTTAGGGGCCTCAACATGCTTAGAAACTGCTCGCCCCGGGCTTCTGCGTGCGCTGCCCGCCCATGGGCGCAGCCCCTTAAAATAAATATAGATATTTTAAATATAGAGGGTATGGGATGGGTATTCAGGGTTAGACAGTCAGCGAATCGCCGCAGGGTCGCCGAGTAGACCTTTCCGGCGTCTGCCCGCGCCACCCTCATCTTCTCGATGGTTGGACCTCCACAGGATGGCTTTTATAGGCCCATCACAGCTATAGGGTTTATAGGGTTTATAGGGTTTATAGGGTTTATGGGGTTTGTGGGGTTTATGCGATTTATAGGGTTTCAGGAGTTTCGGGTTTGGGGTTGCATCTTTCCCAGAGCTGAGGCTTCAACGCGCGCACTCCATCTGCGGGATGGGGCGGCCCCACCTCCACCTGCAGGGGGGCAAGCTCAGCAGCTCGTCGCTTCTTAAGGCCACGGCTGCGTGCACAGGAGCCTCCACCTGTTCCGTGCCGTTCGGCACCGGCAAGCTGACCTGGCCGAGTCCATGGCGCTTTCTCAAGAACAAAAAGCCGCAGTGGCAGTCATCATGCGCCTGAGGCAGCGCCGCGGAAGAGGGTGGCTCCATCGCATTCCTTGAGGACCTCGAGAAGCGGGCGAAGAACAAGTGAGCGCAACGAAGATCACGACATTAACGCCATTGAACGATTGCGTGGGACTCTCAGTAAGTAAGGTAGTCCAGCAAACACGAAGCCCGAAGCAGGACTCAAAGTCTCATCCCGAAGACGCATGCCCGGGTGCATTGCATCGTACGTGCGAGACCGCACAAGATAAGACTAGGCTGCATTGTATGCTAGAATGCTGGGGGAATATTGGGCAATACCTGCGTGAAGAACACAGGCTGCGGCCAAATCCAGGCCGTCGGGCTTCCAGCACATCGGCTGGCAGAGCACAAAGCCAAAATGGCTGCAAGCAAAATCTAGCGCGAAAGGCGTGTATGGTATACAAATGAAGAAGCAAGGTATTGAGCTGAAAGCTAACAGTAACTAACAGCTACAACGATCCACCACGCGGCAGATTCTGAAACTAAGGCATCAGTCTTGGCCCCAACCGTTTCACAAAGTGAAGAGATGCTTTAGCTTTTGCTAATCAAAAACGCAGGACCCACAAGACGCTCAAGGTTTTGGGTTTAGAGATAAGCTTTTGAGCCTCTGGGCTTTGGGTTTAGAGTTTGTTGCAGAAGGCTTCAGGCATGATGGCCTAAGCGACAGATGGCTCCTGCTTTTCATCTACGGCAAGCTGTGGGCGAAAGAGCTTCCGAGCAACTGCGCGTTTTTGTTCGGGAGCCTCGCGCAGCCCGGATCCACATCTCCCGGATGATGTTCCGGGCCCAAAAAACAGAGCGATCGAGAGCGAGCCAGAGGGAGAACCACAGAGACAGAGAGAGAGGGAGAGGGAGAGGGGCACATGGAGAGTGGGCCATTCCATTGCCCCCTGCCCTATTTGATGACGGATCGAAAATCTGGAGCTCAGAGCGGAGAGGTAAACGAGGGCGCGTGCCGGGATGTGCAGCGGAACACCTTGACCTCGAGGACATTGGTCTGGAGATATGGCGAAGTGCGAAGATGCACCCCCGGATTTCTGTAGCAGGCTTAGGTGCGACAATCTGAACAGGCCAACTAGTTGCAGTACAAGCAATGCTGTAAAGAAGCATAAGCAAGGCCATAACGAGGATTCCACACTTCTACTTCCCCTGTTTTTGCCCAGATCTACCCCATCGACCTCCAGCCCTCGCAATGACCAGGTTTATAGTGGCTTTCGAGCCTAGGAACTGCCTTAGGGGTTTATAGTAGCTTATAGGGGGCCTTGGGGTTTAGCTTTCATTTTTGTTGTATGACCTCTTCTTGCGCGATGCCGAGAGTCTGCGTGAGGGCCCCGCTGTGGGTGAAGTTCTGCGGCGTTGTCTACACGTGTAGAGAGTACTCTTATCCCTGAAAGGGGTACATTTATGGAAGGTGTCTAATTCCTTCATTCCCTACTATATAGCCGCGTAACAAGAAACTTACCACACGTGTGCGAACATGAGCTCCTCTTGTTTGTTTCTCCGGGTGTAAACAAGCCGAGTGCGAAAAAGTACAGGCCCCATAGAAGCTACCAGTTGATCTCGTGAGCAAACTGCCTCAAACCCAATATATAGACTCAAAGGCTTCATGAGTGTACCTCCCCGGCCTTCGATCTGAAAACCTACACACAACCCGTGAACCCCTAAAACCCCAAGCCCGGCAAACCCTAAGACCCGAAAGTGCCCTACTTTGAACCTCAGGCTCGTTCTGACACCCTACTTCGAGCTCCACCTTCGACCACCTGGGTGGGCAAGTGGGGGTGGTCCTTGCGGCTCAGGGCTTTAGAACGGCTTAAGGTGGTGCAGAAGTCGGAGGGGGCCTGAGGCTCTGAATATTAGGGGGGAGGATGTCAGATTTTGGGCTGAGAGTTGGTTGCTGAGTCATGGGCATTCATTGAGGCTCCTCGGGGCTTCGGGCGTGGGGGCCAGGAGCCCAGATGCTCCTGCTTCTCATCTACGGCCAGGGTGGGGCGAACGAGGCTTCGAGCACAACCCCTATAAACCCTATAAACCCTAAACCCTACGCCCCCGACGCTTTTTTTGGCATTCGGGAGCCTGGCGTCGGTCCGGATCCGGCTGCGAAGTGGCACCCGCATGAAGGCTCACTCCTCCAGGATTGCGCCCTCGGACCCACGAGATGCGAGGGAAAGACAGAGACCGAGCGAGAGAAAATCACAGAGAGAGAGAGAGAGATGGTAAACAAAGAAACTAGGCGGAAAAAACAACTGTAAAGAACATAAAGACACGGAAAGAAAAAGGAAGCGAGTCAATTCCAGGGTTCGCCCCCCCCCCTCCCCCCCCATTGCCTTTGCTAGTGGTGGCAGAAGAGAATCGTCTCATGGTTCGGTGAAGGAGAGCCACTGAACCCTACGCAGCATCCTAATTATGCACCCTTTGCACCCTACACACCCTGTAAACTCTAAGCAACCCTCTATACGCTATAAAAGCCCTACTATATACGCCATAAAAGCCCTACTGTAAGCCTTATGAGCGTCACGTTCATGGAGTATACAAGTCTTCCATGGGCACAGTACAATCTACGATAGGAGTGAACGCCAAGACCATTATGCAGCCCAAAAACCCTACAGGCCTTGTGAGCGTCACATTCATGGAGTACACAGGTCTTCCATGGGCACAGTACAAGCTACGCAAAAGGAGACCTGAATAGAATCAAAAAGAAAACCCCCCAACAAATCTCTCTGCAGCCTCAAGCCTCAACCCTAAACCCTAAACCCTAAACCCTAAACCCTAAACCCTAAACCCTAAACCCTAAACCCTAAACCCAAGTATGCCGTGCGCCAGGTCCATCTCCGAGGCTCCCCCGCAGCCACCGGTGCCGGGCCTCGCTGGGACGAAGCTTGGGGATGAGGGAGATTATGTGTAGAGGGACTTTTATCGGGATTACAGGGTTTTATATAGGGTTTATGTAGTGTTTATATAGGCTTTACATCGGGATTTGCGGTGTTCATGTAAGGATTGGGCCGGCTATAGGAGGCATCTAGGATGGGCGCTGCTCCGCCAGCAATCCCACACCCACATCTTCGGCGCCCTAGAACTACGGAAGGGCAAAGAAGACCACCCAACCAGGCCCTGGATGGGCCCTCGATGCTAACCATGGCCATAGAATGAATTCAGAAGCAACAAAAGACCCCTTTTTCAGGGTGGGGAGTCCTTCTCTCAAAAAAAGGTGGGAAACTTCGGCAGATGTGTGTGTCCAACTAGCTCTCTTCCAAGCGGCGGGCTGCCCATCGGCGTTGGCTCACCAGAAGCCCATGATGGCGTATCACAACAGATCGCGATGGGACTGCCTTCTGTTCGGTAGCCGGAATGTTTCTTGCATGTGAAGTAATTCGTTGCCTGCCGTGGAGCTGTGAGAACATGCCGGACATGCTGACGGACTAATGGTAAAGACATCTTGTTCTGACAGCAACTGCTGTTTCGGCGTGCTACTTCCGTGCATTTGAGAACAGAAGCGGTGACGGCGAAGAAGGCTCCAGCACTGCTCCAGCGGCCGGGTCTCAAACTACAGCTGCTTTGATAAATTTAAATGTGCAAAGAAATCATCCGACCGAAGCCCCAAAGTCCAGCTCCGCCTCAGAAAATTGTGAACGACGGGTTGAAGAGTGTTTTAGTGTGTTTTACACACAGCGACAAGTGCTATCGGACCCTGAGCTGCAACACGGTGTTTTGAGTCACGAAGGCCTTGGAACCGCTGGGTCGCTCTGGCATTCTTCCGCTCGGACGCTGCTGGCAGCACGCAGTCCTACCGGTTTCACCTCGACAAGCCGGAAACCTCTCAAGCTTTGCCCATCTTCTTGAGATCCGCAAGTTGGCCGTATGAGATGCACGTGCAAAATGTGAGAGGTGGCAGCGGCAGGCTCAAAACTCCACTTCAAGGAGGGTCATCCCGGCCGTGCATTAAAGAGTTTTCACGCAGTGCAAACAGACGAGTTGGCTCCAGCCTAGGTCCTCGGGGGGACTCAGAGCTTGAGCGAGCAGATCGGCTAAGACTCCAGCAGCGGAAACGCGCAGGTGCACTTTTAAGCGCCTGCAAGTGGCTTTGTGCCAACTGTTCAAGGAAGGTCATCCCGGCCATGCATTTAAACAGTTAGTAACGCGCTGCGAACAGACTGAATGCCTCCAGCCAGGCTTATGTACTACTACCGAAGTTCCTCAATGAGCAGATCAGCGAGATTGCGTGAGAGAAAATGCGCAGGTTCGCTTGAAATCACCTGCAAGCGGCTTCACGCCAACGGCTACTGGTGGGCCTTGCGTCTCTGAAATCATCGGCTCGATGCAATGACGGTTCTCGGCACGGGTCGAGACCACCTGCAGCAGGATCTGCTTTGGGAGATGTCTGGTGGAACCCAAACTTGGTGGTTCTTTTCACCCAACACCCATGTCGCAGAAAGGGCCCATGCGTCCTACTGGTGACACATCTACACGAGTCCCATGAAGCTGGAAAACAAAAACACCAACTTTACCATCATCTTGTTCTGCACTTATCTCAGACGCTCGGATCCTAGCCCAGCAGACCCCATCCTTCCCTTACTCAACTCAAGGTAACCGCAGAGGGGTTGGTTCGGAAGGCGTTGAGTTGAGTTGGGAGGGCTTTGCTGGTTCGAAGGGTTCCTTTGGATAGCCTCCTTCAACGAAACCTTGGAAATTCGAGCTCTGGAAGACGAGGCTGGAAGGAGAAACTCGGGATCATCGGTTTACCGTATTGAACAGAACTTGGCGTCGCAATGCGCCGAAGGACATACAGATTGGTGAGAAGTCGGGATAGAAATCTAGACATTCCGTGCTCCCTCCTCCACCTGAACCTATGTGAGATTGAAGAGATGCTCCTAAGGCTTTCTACTGTGTGCCTGGACCGGCTCTGCCTTGACGGCCAGGCAGATCATGCACATCGGAGTCGAGAGCCCAAACAAAGGGCACCACCGACATGGGCTCGCTTCTTGGGCCTGGGGTCTGAAGGGCTTGGAGGGCTGAGCATGAGACTCCCCAGCCCCTCCCTACACTCCCCCTTCCCCAAGCTTGTCTCGTACTTCTTCTTACAAACCTTAAATTTGGCCACGGAGGGATCCTTGGAGTGGGGAGGATCAGCACAATGGTTCCAGCTTGTCTGCACCTAGTATTTTGATTGTTGGTAGTACCATTTCAGTCTTACTTTGTTCCAAACATTGACACTTTCCCGCCTTCCAAACTGACTCGATGCCGCTTCCTCACATATGCAACAGGTAGACAAAACACGTTAAACACGTTTCGCCCAAGGCTTTCTACTTAAGTACGAGGGGCGCCTTGACCAAGCACGGATGTCATCCGGCTTGTCCTTAACATCCAGGCAGATCAGGCCCCCTTTTGGCAATCATAAGAGTCGACAGGCACCGGCGACCTGGGTTTGGTAGGGCTTAAAGGGCGGAGTTTCCCGCCCCCGCCCCGCCCCACAAAAGCCCCCTCGTTCCTTCGGGATCCCCCCCAAGGAAGCCTGGTTCGAGCGGTATCTCGGAGTCGACTCCGAATTAAAAAAGAAGACCCCATGTAGTGTTCCGTGCAATGCTTCGATTCTTCGTTTCACCCCAAGACCCCGCCAAGGCACATTGATAAGGCACACCCGAAGTCCTTGCCACTCTTCTTCCAGCTGTCTGCACCTCGGAAGCTTATACATCTTGCCGCAGCCATGCTTGTTAACATTCTTTACATGCGATTCGCCCCTGTAAGCCCTTTAAAACCTTTCATTGAGCCAAGCCGCAAGTCTTGCGGACTTAACCCGGCACCTCCGGAGGTGAGGCAGCGACCACCGCGTGGTGGAAGACCTCCCCGAGTCGTCTGCATCTCCTCGGCGAGAATGGGGCAGGTGAGGCAGGTGTCTGACTGGGGCTACAGCTACAAGCAGGGCGCCTCTTGCTGTGATGGCTGGGGGCCTTTGCTGCGGGTTCTTCTGATCGTTTCAAAAACGGCCGGATGAAATTTTCAAGAGAACCCCATAAAGCCCCAAAAACCCTATATGCTTCCAGCCTTGGGCCCCTGAAGCAACCAGCAACCCTTCTAAGCCCCCGGAAATGACAAGAACAAGCTTTTCGGCGCCGCGTCTCCTCTGATCAACCCGGGAGGCGCCAGCGGCAGACGCTGTGTCTGGCACCATACGACACTCGAAAGGCCATTCTGCATGCTCGCGCGGCATATACTTACTCCATAGTTTGCTGTATATAATAAGTAGGCTTATACAGAATATGAACCAAGGTGATGGGGCTACAGTATAGGTCTGCTGCAAGTAACCATTGGTCACGGCATGGTCCCGAGGCTAATGCGTGACGGTGCTGAAGCTACCAGTTCCTGGCCTCTCTTCGCGTCGTTCCTTCTATAGCTTCCATTTCGTGTCCGCTATCTCTATTCCAGTTGACTCTCGATAGCTGGTGGAATCACAGACGAATCCACAAGCACGGAAGTTGGAGGAATCTTGGAGAGGTTACATCTCATCTACCTGCTGTCTTGTCTCTAAGTGCCAGAAGCAATTCCTCCCAAGCGCCGGACGTCCGCCCGCATGAGTTAAGATCCCACTCCCATGGCCAAGGCCTTTTGACAGGCACGGGGGCACGTTAGCTTTGAAAGTCTTCTGCTTGGGTGAGACATGGTGAGACATAGTTGCATATTGCAGGCCGGCTACCAACTAATTAAGCGTAGTCATGGAGGAGCATCTCCCAGAGGTTTGGGAGATTCCTTGGGGCGGGTTTGCTCGGAGCTCTTGCACGATGCGAAGCGAGCCGGGAGACCGCATCCCCGAGGGAAAAGCAAATGTCCCGCCCACACCCCGAATTGTCGGGGCTGCGGTCTCCCCTTTTGTTTTCTTCAACAGCTTCCGGCTCCGAAGCCAAACCCACCAAGAGGCACGCCTGTGCCACAAAGTGTATGTGCTGCCAGGCCCTACGTGGCCCGGGGGGCCTCTTCTTCGATCATGACTCTACTCAACCCTAAACCCTAAGCCCTAAGCCCGAAGCGCTAAACCCTAAACCCTAAACAGCTCCCTAAACCCTAAACCCCAAAACCCTAAAAAAGGCTTTTTTTATCAGCACCTATCAGCTCCTCAGGGCCTCTTTGGATGCTTCGGAAACCACAACAGCGTTTGGCGTCGCTCGGCGCTCGAGGACTTCACTTCTCAACCCTCAACCCCCCAAACCCAGACCTTCCAAGCCCTGGAAGCCCAAAAAAAACCCTAAACCTAGAAACTTTTAAACACCCTAAGCCTACATTTCCAAGCCCGAAGCCCCAAAAAACCTAGTTTTATGGGAGAGCTTCCCCCAGAGCTGGGCGGTCGTTTGGCCTCTCTCTTCGGAGGGCTCAAAAGGAGTGAATTCTCCGAGCGCTGTGGGCATTCGCAGTTCTTATAAGTTGGCCCCCTTGAAGCCCTCAGATGCTAAGATACTCTTACGAGGATTCTTGGCAATCTTGTGGAGCCCACAACGCTCCTAGCGCTGCGGGCGGAGCTTCAGATCTTCCATGGTACGATCCCGGAAGGCAGCGGCGACTGCCTGCATCATCGAGATTTCTGTGGTGCTTCGTATACAGCTGGGAATGGACTTCCGCGAATCTGCCTTTTTGGCCACATGTGTTCCGACTAGCAGCAGCAAAAGGGACCTACCCAGCCACATGAGCGAACCCGACCGTGTTAGCAATGTCCTGACATGCATCGGGGGCAGCAACCTGTGCCTGAACCTTGCCAGTGAAGGATCTCAGCATTGGCGTCGGGGGGTTGCTCTAGATGAGAGCTTTCGTTTGAATACCCTAAAAGCAGCCTGCGATATAAGAGCCCAAAAAGGAAACCATGACTTATATAGAGCAAGCCCAAAAAAGATCCAAAGCTTCCACCGGAAACATCAAGCTGAAGGGGTTGAAACACTCCCAAGCCCGGCTTTCCTGACCTCCACGCCGGCGTCGCTGAGAGAATTCTCGTGGAGCCAGAGCGTTTTGAGCACCCTGTTGTCGCGGAGGCCGTGGACCAAGGCCTGCGGCGCGGCTTGTTGCTGAGGGGCGAGAGAGAGAGAGAGAGAGAGAGAGAGAGAGAGAGAGAGAGGCACTCGCAATTGTTGCTGCTTTAGATTCACTGCGTGGCCGTTCATCGAAGCGCCCTGAAGACTCAAAACCTCTAGGTCCAAGACCTCCAAGTTCAACAGCCCCAAATGTCCCAAACTTGAAAACACCCCGAAGCCGGACAGCAAAAGGGACAAAGCCGCGCAAACCCCGCACCTCGGCTCCCGCATCGCTGACGCGGTTCTGACTCAGGGTCAGCCCGGTCAATTGCAGCAGTCGCGGCAGGACCCCGGCCAAGGCCTGCACAATGACATCGAAGCCGAGCAACACTCTGAGGTGGGCCCGACACAGCCACTTCGCCTTTTTAAGTTTCTGAGGGCCATGCTTTGGTTCACAGAACATGGGGCTATGGAGCCACGCTGCTGGCCTGCATCTACTATAGCTATACCCCTTTCACCAATGCGACTCAGGCCTCACTGTGCTCTTAGCCGCCGTCACCAACAGTGAACCCAAGAGGCCAAGGGGACTCTTGCAATCTTACACGAAATCTCAGCGTGGAGCTGTGCACCGATTCTGCGAAGCTGCATTGAAACTTACTCTCGAAGGTTATACAGCAACAGGCTACCCTGGCTGCAACATGCCTTTGAGAACTCCAGTGTAAAATGCTCCGCCTTCCCGCATATACTTCTTCAGAACCCCTTCACCATCCTCACCCGTGCAAGCTTAGTCCCAGAGAGCTTCCTCGTGCATTTCACTCCTGGGCTGTCTTCCCCGGCGCAGAAATTGGAGGATGCGCAGAAGTGAAAGGATGATGAGCCGCAAAGGTTGTTGGATTGTCGGTTCCTAAAGAATGCCAACGTCGTCGGCCTGCGCGCCATCATCGCCGAAGCTGTTGTCGCGCAAGCCGAGATACTGCGCAGTTCCCAAAACAAGTATCAATCTCAGACGCTACCATACGCTACTTGCTCACTGGAATACACAATGCGAACAGTGCACCTGCACAGGGCCTGGCAAGCACATTCCACTCCATCACGAGGCTTTCTACAGGGCTGCAATTCAGCATGGCAACACGGCCTGCATCTGAGTGAGGTGCTGGAGGACTTCGGCCAGGGCCTGCATATGATGCCAAGCCCGCTTCCCAAAACCTAGATTTAGAATGTTTAGATTCTAAACTCGCAGCACGTCGCTCTTTCAGCTGCGCGTCCCAATCCCATGCAGCTGCAGCAGCATGCTGTTTCCTAGCTTCCAATTGAACCGATTTCAATGGGAACTCCTGGGAGGTTACGAATGAATGATTTGTTATGATTTGTTGATTTAGAGGGCCCAAACTCGATGCCGAAAAATGGTGTCTTGCAAGGGCCTCCCCAGCTGCTACTTTCTGCTTTCCATGCACGTTTGGACAGCATGCTCACCTGGCCCACTTGGAGTTCGCCGCTGGGGTTCACATCAATCTTCAGATGTTCGGGAAGCAAGTTTTTACGGTACTGACGCAGGAGGCAGGAAGCAAATCACGTCTACCAGCTGCAGCTCGAGACGATGCCTGGAGCCCGACATCTGTGATGGAGTTGCTGAACACCCTCAAGTCGCTGAGCTTCGCATGTGGCCGCAGCGCTCTGGCCAGGGCCTCGCCCCACGTGCCCCATGCCGCAAGCAACATGCGCTGCATGGACTTGCCCTCTTTCCACAGAAAAACCCTACAATCCAATTGAACTGGCTGGCAGCCCCAACCTTCCAGCAAACCATCCGCGCACAGGATGCCCCGTGCCAAGCCTTGATGCCACCCTTCCAGCAAACCATCCGCGCACAGGATGCCCCGTGCCAAGCCTTGATGCCACCGTCGCCAATGCGGTTTCCGTAGAGCATCAGCGCCTTCAAGGCCGCGTGTCCGCCCAGGCCAGCAGCGAGAGCCTGCCGAAACTGCCCCATTGAGCCCTCCGCATCCCCCAGTCTTAGGACCAGGGGTGCATTTACGATAAGGAAAGTGTTTGTGGACTGTGTCACTGTGTGGGCTGAAGGATAATCGATGGCTGATGCCGAGGGCGAGGGCTTTCATGCAGGTTCTGTGAACTTGTTTTGGCTGTGCCGATGAGCCTAAAGAGCGTCTTCCTGATCCCCCGAGCCCCATTGACAAGCCGTCACAACTGAATGACGGGTTTGTCCTGTGTGTTTTGCTGCTTCGTAATGATTGGCGCCGTGATTGGTGCTTGAGCGCGTCGGAGTTCGGGGGCCCCTGGGCTTGGTTTTTCCTGGGCCCGGCTGCCGGGCCCAGAAACCAGAAGTCGCCAGAAGAGAAAAACACTGCAGATCCTTCGGCGCGGCTCCCAGGGCCTCTAGACTCGAAAGAAGTTGGGGAGAGTGAGGCCCAAGCTGCCCAGAAAACTTGCGCCAAATGCCGAACGCCCCTTGGAAGACTTTCTCGCTTCACAGTCCGAGTCTCTCCAAAGGACCCTTCATGAAAATACTAAACACTTCTAAGACGGAACAGGCAGTGCATCTGCTGAAGTTCGGGAGGACAAACCAAAGATCCCAACTTGATCAACTCCAGGCCTGCGCCCCCACATCGCCGAAGCCGTTCTTGCCCAGGCTTAGGTCTCGTAGGTTCTTGTGGTCTGCGAGGCCCTCGGCGATGGCCTGCATGGGGACAGGCCACCTTGCAGAAGCGCACCTTCGGCCCTCAATCTTGCCATCACGTCGCCGGATGTCCAAAACAGCGTCAGGGCCTATACAGTACCGACTCCAAACCTTTCCCCCCTCCCAAGGCCTGGAGGCCGCTGTCGCCGATGCGATTGCCTAAGAGCCACAGCACCCGCAGCGAGGAGTGGCCGCCCAGACCAGCTCCGAGGGCCTCCGCAGACGACCGAATCTATTGGACTCTTCGTCTTTTGGAAACGGTGTAGGCATCATGGCCTGGCCGGGCAAGTACGCTTATCCGGGGATTCTATAGGATAGCCAAGTTCTGTTTCCGAGGCTTGGCGGCACGTAGTTGTAGAACCCTCCCAGAAAGTGGGAAAGTCCTTGCTGAAACCCCAGGCATATCCTCTTCGCAGGGTCTCCCAGAGGAAAGGAGGTTGAAAGTTCATGGCCGTAAGAAACTATATGTATTGCAAGTTATGCTTGGCGCAGGACGAGTATTGCAATTGCGAAAGTACTTCAGTGGGCAAGATCTGATATTTTTGATCCTTAAGGGGGTTGTCGGTGCGAAGCAAGGGTATTGCAGATAGCTTCGCCTCTTAGGGGGTTGTCGGACAAGAATGGTTATTGCAGATACCTTCGTGTTCCTATAATTGTGGATCTCTTACAGGGTTGCCGGTGCTGCAATCAACAGCATATCCTGAAGCCGAGTGTGGTGTAGGTATGTGAATGCAGCTTGCAGCTATCTCACACGTCGAAAACAAACGCACTTTGGCGAGTTCCCTCCACCCCCGAGAACAGCAGCCAGCCGCCGAAGCCCATCTTCAGCGTGTTTCAGACATAGTGGCGGCATGTGGCAGACCTTTCGGACATTGAAGGTTCCATGTCCCGGGTATCGCTGGTGCCGCGGCGAGACCATAATGTTTCGAGAATCTCCCGTGAACGAAATGGCGGATCGTTTGATATTGTTTGCACGTTGCTGTGCGGAGGTGGACGAGTCTGCGGGCTTGCGCTTGCAAAACAATCAGGCTCTCTTAGCATGAGGTGATTGGCCTGCAGCATCGCGAATTTGCGGTGCAGTGCATGGCTCCATCTGCCAGAATAGGATTCCTCACGTGCTGGCGCTGACTCTCAGCATCTGAGAGTTTGACAAGGCCTCCGAAGTTTGTAGAACAAACTTGTACGCCGTTCTTTCTGGGAGATGAGCCTAGACCTCCTCCTGAAACCATTAGCCCCATTGAGAAGCCGCCACAACTGAGACGGAGGATGAGCATGGCTGGTGCCGTGGTTGGCGCTTGAGCGCGTCGGAGTTCAGGGGCCCTGGGCTTGGTGATTTTCCTGGGCCCGGCTGCCGGGCTCAGAAACCAAAAGTCGCCAAAAGACGAAAACACAATAACAACATAACAACACGAGCATGAATGGGGGGCGGGCGGAACAGTGCACCACTACAGGAAGTACACGGATGTACACGGACCATGGAGCAACCTCCCTCCACCATCCCTGACGAGGGGAACCGAGGAGGCCAGCAGCGTTTTCAAGTTGCCCTTGGGTCTTTGAAAAGGGAGTGAAGTGGTGTCTTGTCGTTAAGATCTGTCTACAGGGCACAGACCTAAGCCCAGGCTTCCCAACCCCCTCCTGCGCTGCTTTTGCCAACAGAATGCACAGCCCTCCTCTCCCCGACTCTCGGACCCTGGGGCCTGCCAACTCTTGAAGCCTCTAACCCCATTTGGAAACTGCCAGAACTGAGATGTCTGGCTGGAAGGTGCTCGGCATCGGTTTCGTGCTGGAGCGCATCATGAGTTTCGTTAGGACTGGCGCAGGCTTGACTGTGCAGGTGTTCAAACACTCCGCTTGGTCTATCTTGCCTCGGCTCAGACAAAAGCACAACATCAAATGAGACCAAGTCCCCCGCCAGATTCGATTTGGAAGATCCGAGGTCTGTATCAATGCTACTTAACTTCAGTACTGTCTATGCGGAAAGCTGATGTCCGCCTCTACAGCCCGCAGGGCTTCACAAAACGCGCTCGCTTAAGAAGTCTTCTGTGATATTTCCACAGCGGCCCAGCCTGGGCTCCAGAGTCTCCGATGGCGTTCTCGGCCAAGCTCAGCTCCTTCGCCGGGCGGGGCTGGTAGGAATGCATCTCAGAGCTCAGAGAAGATGCGGCCGCACGGCGATTTTGAGGCTTGCTGCTACCCTGAGCTTCAGTTTGGGGCGATTCAGATCGAGGCTTCGGGGCAGATATCTCGCACTGCACCGCCTTGAGTGCTTTTAATGAAGTCAACAGACGTGATGACTATGCACAAGCTATGCCGCCATATCCTTCCAAGATGCCTTGCAAGCTGACCGACCGCGGTTTAAAACTATCGCTATCGTTGTGATACACCATGCTTTGCATTGGAAGCTCCTTATGGGGCCCTCTTAGCTAGAAACCCTAAACATCCCGAAGCCCTAAACCGATGAGGAAGCGCGGCTAGGCAGCCCATGAACCCACAGCTTCGACAGAGGCTCCAAGATCCCTTTCAAACTTCGGGGGGGAAGATTCCTTCAACTCGCGGTTTAGGGTTCAGGCCTTTATAGGGTTTGGAGGAACCCTAGAGCTATTTAAGGAATTTTCCTTGCTTAAGGGTTTTTGAGCAACTCTTCACATTTGATCAGTCAAACCCGAAAAGCATGCCCAAGCAGAGCTCCCCGACCACCTTTACAAACCCCGGCGGAGACTGGCAACTGGCGGTCCTCCATCTTCGGGAGAGCTTTCAGTGATTCTCCCAGGGCCTCTGCACACGAGGAAGTTTGGGGAGAGCGGGTCTTGGAAGTTGGGAGGGCCATGTCCCGGACTTTGACTCGTCACGGTCCGAGGCTCTCAGGATAACTCCGCAGGACATGCTTCTTGCACGCACTTAAGACGGAACAGGCAGTGCACCTGCACCGAACAAATCCCAACTTGATCAACTCCAGGCCTGCGTCCCCGCATCGCTGAAGGCATTGTTGCTCAGGCTTAGGTCTCGCAAGTTCTTGTGGTCTGCGAGGCCCTCCGCAATGGCCTGCATGGGGACAGGCCACGGGCAGAAGCACGCCTTCGGCCCTCATTCTGGCCATCGCGTCGCCGGATGTCTGAAAATATCTTCAGGGCCTCTACACAGCACCGACTCGACAACTTTCCCCCTCCCAAGGCCTGGAGGCCGCTGTCGCCGATGCGATTGCCGAAGAGCCGGAACACCCGCAGCGAGGAGTGGCCGCCCAGACCAGCTCCAAGGGCCTGCGCAGACGACCGAATCTATTGACTCTTTGTCTTTTGGAAACGGTGTAGGCATCATGGGCTGGCCGGGCAAGTACCCTTATCCGGGGATTCTATAGGATAACCAAGTTCTGTTTCCTAGGCTTGGCGGCACATAGTTGTAGAACCCTCCCACAAAGTCTTCGCAGGGTCTCCCGCACCCGACTCCCCCTCCCCGCGGGCTCGCGCATGCAGGCCAAACAAAGGGGCGTAGAGTACCGACATCTTTCTATTCGCAGAATCTACATACAGAGGGAAGGAGGTTGAAAGTTCATGGCCGAAAGAAGCTATACGTATTGCAAGTTATGCTTGGCGCAGGACGAGTATTGGAATTGTGCAAGTACTTCAATGGGCAAGATCTGATATTGTTGATCCTTAAGGGGGTTGTCGGTGGGAAGCAAAGGTATTGCAGATAGCTTCGCCTCTTAGGGGGTTGTCGGACAAGAAAGGGTATTGCAGATATCTTGGCGTTCTAATTGTGGATCTCTTACGGGGTTGCCGGTGCTGCAATCAACAGCATATCCTGAAGCCGAGTGTGGTGTAGGTATGTGAATGCATCTTGCAGCTATCTCAAGTGTTTCCAGTCACGCCGCAAACAAACGCACTTTGGCGAGTTTCCCTCCACCCCCGAGAACAGCAGCCAGCCACCGAAGCCCATCTCATGAAATGGGAGAAAAGGTGACCTTGAAAAGCAGGTTTCTGGGCCACTTCAGCGTGTTTCAGACACAGTGGCGGCATGTGGCAGACGTTTCGGACATTGAAGGTTCCATGTCCCGGGTATCGCTGGTGCCGCGGCGACACCATAGTGTTTCTAGAATCTCCCGTGAACGAAATGGCGGATCGTTTGATATTGTTTGCACGTTGCTGTGCGGAGGTGGACGAGTCTGCGGGCTTGCGCTTGCAAAACAATCAGGCTCTCTTAGCATGAGGTGATTGGACTGCAGCATCTCGAAGTTGCGGTGCAGTGCATGGCTCCATCTGCCAGAATAGGATTCCTCACGTGCTGGCGCTGACTCTCAGCATCTGAGAGTTTGACAAGGCCTCCGAAGTTTGTAGAACAAACTTGTACGCCGTTCTTTCTGGGAGATGAGCCTAGACCTCCTCCTGAAACCATTAGCCCCATTGAGAAGCCGCCACAACTGAGACGGAGGATGAGCATGGCTGGTGCCGTGGTTGGCGCTTGAGCGCGTCGGAGTTCAGGGGCCCTGGGCTTGGTGATTTTCCTGGGCCCGGCTGCCGGGCTCAGAAACCAAAAGTCGCCAAAAGACGAAAACACAATAACAACATAACAACACGAGCATGAATGGGGGCGGGCGGAACAGTGCACCACTACAGGAAGTACACGGATGTACACGGACCATGGAGCAACCTCCCTCCACCATCCCTGACGAGGGGAACCGAGGAGGCCAGCAGCGTTTTCAAGTTGCCCTTGGGTCTTTGAAAAGGGAGTGAAGTGGTGTCTTGTCGTTAAGATCTGTCTACAGGGCACAGACCTAAGCCCAGGCTTCCCAACCCCCTCCTGCGCTGCTTTTGCCAACAGAATGCACAGCCCTCCTCTCCCCGACTCTCGGACCCTGGGGCCTGCCAACTCTTGAAGCCTCTAACCCCATTTGGAAACTGCCAGAACTGAGATGTCTGGCTGGAAGGTGCTCGGCATCGGTTTCGTGCTGGAGCGCATCATGAGTTTCGTTAGGACTGGCGCAGGCTTGACTGTGCAGGTGTTCAAACACTCCGCTTGGTCTATCTTGCCTCGGCTCAGACAGAAGCACAACATCAAATGAGACCAAGTCCCCCGCCAGATTCGATTTGGAAGATCCGAGGTCTGTATCAATGCCACTTAACTTCAGTACTGTCTATGCAGAAAGCTGATGTCTGCCTCTACAGCCCGCAGGGCTTCACAAAACGGGCTCGCTTAAGAATTGTGATATTTCCACAGCGGCCCCGCCTGGGCGCCAGAGTCTCCGATGGCGTTATTCGCCAGCCTCAGATCCTTCGCCGGGCGGGGCTGGTAGGAATGCGAACTTGTGGCATCTCAGAGCTCAGAGAAGATGCGGCCGCACGGCGATTTGAGGCTTGCTGCTACCCTGGGCTTCAGCATTGGGGCGATTCAGATCGAGGCTGCGGGGCAGATATCTCGCACTGCACCGCCTTGGCCAACAGACGTGATGACTATGCACAAGCTATGCCGCCATATCCTTCCAAGATGCCTTGCAAGCTGACCGACCGCGGTTAAAAACTATCGTTGTCGTTGTGATACACCATGCTTTGCACCGGAAGCTCCTAATGGGGCCCTCTTAGCCAGAAACCCTAAACATCCCGAAGCCCTAAACCGAAGCGCGGCTAGGCAGCCCATGAACCCACAGCTTCGACAGAGGCTCCAAAATCCCTTTCAAACTTCGGGGGGGAAGATTCCTTCAACTCGCGGTTTAGGGTTCAGGCCTTTATAGGGTTTGGAGGAACCCTACAGCTATTCAAGGAATTTTCCTTGCTTAAGGGCTTTGAGCTACCCTTCACGTTTGATCAGTCAAACCCGAATAGCATGCCGCTCCCAAGCAGAGCTCCCGCGGCGACCTTTACAAACCCCGGCGGAGACTGGCAACTGGCGGTCCTCGATGTTCGGGAGAGCTTTCAGAGCTTCTGCCAGGGCCTCTGCACACGAGGAAGTTTGGGGAGAGCGGGTCTCGGAAGTTGGGAGGGCCATGTCCCGGACTTTGACTCGTCACAGTCCGAGGCTCTCAGGATAACTCCGCAGGAAATGCTTTTTGTACGCACTTAAGGGGGAACAGGCAGTGCACCTGGACCGAGCAAATCCCAACTTGATCAACTCCAGGCCTGCGTCCCCGCATCGCCGAAGATGTTCTTGGACAGGCTTAGTTCTCGTAGGTCCTTGTGGCCTGCGAGGCCCTCGGCGATGGCCTGCGCACAGGCAGACATGCACCTTCGGCCTTGAAACTTGCAACTTGCCATCACGCAGCCGGATGTCCAAAATGTCTTCAGGGCCTGCCGACTCCGAACCTTTCCCCCCTCCCCAGGCCTGGAGGCCGCTGTCGCCGATGCGATTGCCGTGAAGCCACAGCACCCGCAGCGAGGAGTGGCCGCCCAGACCAGCTCCAAGGGCCTCCGCAGACGACCGAATCTATAGGACTCTTTGTCTTTTGGAAACGGTGTAGGCATCATGGCCTGGCCGGGCAAGTACCCTTATCCGGAGATTCTATAGGATAGCCAAGTTCTGTTTCCTAGGCTTGGCGGCACGTAGTTGTAGAACCCTCCCACAATGGTGGGAAGTCCTTGCTGAAACCCCAGGCATATTTCTCTTCGCAGGGTCTCCCCGCACCCGACCCCCCCTCCCCCGCGGGCTCGCGCATGCAGGCCAACAAAGGGGCGCAGAGTACTGACATTTTTCTATTCGCAGAATCTACATACAGAGGAAAGGAGGTTGAAAGTTCATGGACGCAAGAAGCTATTTTTATATATGCTTGGCGCAGGACGAGTATTGGAATTGCGACTGTACTTCAGTGGACAAGATCTTATTTTTTCGATCCTTAAGGGGGGCCAACCCCTCACTTGTGACCATAAAATCTTCTCACTTGTGACTGTTTGTTTCTCACTTGTGACTATAAAATCTTCTCACTTCTGACTTTTTTGAGCTCACTTGCGACTATAAATTCCAAAAAGCGCAGCTCTCGCTCGAGTGGAGTCAACAACTCACTTGCGTCTATTTTTTGGGGGGGTGGCTCACTTGTGACTATTTTGTAGTCACAAGTGAGTTTTGATTTTGGGGTGGGGTGGGGGGGGGGGGGCTTGATAATAGCGTGTTGGGGGGGGGGGGGGGGGGGGGGGGGGGGGGGGGGGGGTGAAATAGCGTGTTCCACGTGCTCCCCAACAACAGCGGGGGGGGGGGGGGGGGGGCTTGATAATGGCGTGTTCCACGTGCTGCTCAACAACAGGAGCGGTGGAAAGGACGCGCTTCTCGACAACAGTGGGGTGTGGGGTGGGGGGGGGGCTTGATAATAGCGTGTTGCACGTGCTGCTCAACAACAGCGAGGTGTGGTGGGGTGGGGGGGGGGGGGGGGGGGGGGAGCTTGACAATAGCGTGTAGACAATAGCGTGTTCTAGAGCAACTGGCCAACGTACTTTGGATGTAACATGCAATTTTGGCACGAAGTGATCGGCCTGAATAGTTTGTGCTGCGGTTTTTGGCACTTCCGGTTTGCTGACTCCATCTGCCAGGGAAGGATTTCTCACATGCGGGTGAACTTTATAGGGCAACCTTTACTAGATTAAGGTTTTGCTTTGGCATTTCCAGCAGATGGACGGAGGCTCATCTCTGCGGAGCTTGGTCCGGGCTTCTCCCCGTGGCCCTCCCAAGGTCCTGATGCCTTCCTGCACGGCTCGAGCCTTTCAAGGGGGTTATGGCCTGATTGGCTAGATTTGGCCGTCCACATGTTTGCTCGTGAATGGACGACTTGGGCTGCTGGCTTTTCATTTTCTCCAGTGACATGTCGCGCCTCCTTGCTGGAAATCCATGCCGACACCCTACTGCAACCTCGCCGCAGACCATGGATACCCACATGTATCCACAGGCCACCGCAACAAAAACAACTTTTCAAAATGCTTCAGGTGTGCGCAGCTATTGCCAGCGGTCCCTAAGGGCTGCCATCGTTTGAAGTCTATAGACCTCTTCCTCAGCCACTAGCTCCATTGAGAAGCCGCCACAACTGAGATGGAGGACCAGCATGAAAGTTTCCTCCGGTGCGTTTTGCGTTTTAAATAAAGGTTTGTACTCAAGAGCACATTGCCCTTATTTCACTCCAAAATGTTCCAATGGGAAAGTCTTCACCACTCCATATTGGGAATATCCGAGCGTTTTGCTGTTGAGTACCGGTTCGTGCTTGAGTGCGTCGTAGTCTGGGTCCAGGGTTTGGCCAGCTGCCGGGCTCAGAAGGCAAAATCACCGAAAGACAGAAACACAATAACAGTGCACCGCTACAGGAAGTGCACGAACCACGGAGCAACCTGCCTCATCACTGAGAGTCTAGATGCAACTGGTCGAGTTTTCGGCATGAAGCAGTGTCTTGTCTCAGTCGTTTACATTGATTCCGAGTTTTTGCAAGACTCTGCAATTACTTAATTGTGCGGGAAATTGGCTCCTGCCACCGGAAACCACCCCTCCCAAACCTCCGAGGGCCTCCACACGACGTCAGATCTCTACAGGACACGCAAGCCCACAGCGGCACCCTGCATCCCGTAGAATGTGTAAATGCAGTCTCTTAAAAGTCAGATCTCTTTTATTCCAGCCCTCCTATGCGATCACGGCAAAAGCGCTTTGGATGAGTCATGCAGCAAATCCCGATAGAAATCGTCTATGACCACAGGCATCCACATGCAACCTCAACAAAAGCATCGACAAGAGCCCCTGAACACGTTCTGTGCACTTTCTCCTTTGCGCAGCACCCACTCCTCCCCACCCCGGGCCCGCTTTGAAACAGATGTGGCGACTGGGCGCCGAGCCTATTTGGCCTTCAAGAAGTGTCCAGTCTAGCCGCCAGCTGTTAAACCCAACGCTTCAGCAAATCTTCAGATTGAAAACGATCTTCGTTTCAAGGCTCAGCCCCCAAAATTTAGCAATGAGTACCAGCCAGTACGCCCATTACCCTATTTTCAGCCTGCGTCCAGAATCCGGCTTCTCGGAAGAATGGAGGCTTCCCGAGATACTCGCATGCTGTGCTGGTATGGCTTTGACGGCTCTTGCCTTGAACGATGCCGCCATTCGGGAACGGAAGCCACGCAATCTACCAAAGGTCGTATGCCCCCTTCCCCCCGCCCCTATAAGGCACGCCCTCCCGAATGCCCGCGCCAGCCGTCTGAAATGTTGGACTTCACTAAAGCTTCCGGAGTCGGTGCCCCGCCAGCGGTGGGTCTACACCGCACCACCCTCAGTTGGAACCCGGCTCCCCTCAAGAAGAAGCGCCCACGAAAATCGAGAAGGACACCGCAGAGAACCCGACCCCGCCACTTTTGAGAGGCGGCCACACTTCGGGAGAGGCAGAGCAGGCGGAGCGGGTGCGCCCCCACCTCGGCCTCTGCGTCTCCGAAGCCGGAGTATATCAGCTTCAGCTGCCGCAGGTGGCTCCAGGGCAGCGCCCGCACCAGGGCCTGGCGCGGGGAGAACAGAAAAGGAAGCTGCATAGGGCTTATTCGGAGCTTATAAGCTTTACAAAAAAGTCTTGTAGGATTTGCAGGGCCTTTATGCGATTTTCCTGCAATTTAAGAAAGAAAGGAATGGGAGGCTCGGGGCATACTCTGTAGGGGGCGCGCGCTCTCCTGCCTGGAAGGCCTCGCCGGCCAGCTCGCTTCTGCCCACATACAGCTCCTCCAGGCGCTCGTAGTGCGGCAGCGCCCGGGCCAGCACCTGGACCTGGGCTTCGGGCAGATGCGCTAGATTCAGGTTCGTGGCCTCGGCCGCCTTCTCCCGGAAGACCTTGGCCTGGAGTTGCAGCACCGGCTCCAGGTCCGCGCGGTGCGTGAACTTCAGGGTCCCCCTCTCCACTTGGGCGCGGAACTCCGAGGGCGCCATGGGCGCCTCTGAGTTCCGGCCTTCGCGGAAGGGAATCCTGATGCTCTTCCAGGCAGCAAACCGCGCCAGCGACCACTGGACCTCCGCCATGCACCACCCGCGCTCCCGGTACGGCGTGCTGTTCCGGTGCAGCTGCGGGCAGGGCGGGCGGCAGCCGAAGTGGCATCCCGGGCTGCAGCTGCCCTGGTCGTTCGTGTCGCGCAGCTCGGCCAGCGCCACATCCGTCACGGCGTTCTCGGGGAGGTAGAAGACCTTAGCGGTCCCAGACAGCTCGGGCCCGGGCCGGTCGTGGAGGCCGGGCGTCAGGTCCTCGATCCTTAGCGACCAGGTCTCATCATGCGCGTAGAGGAGGTGCATGTTGGCCATGCCCTTCGCGAAGTAGACGTCCTGATGGGAAGCGCATCTGTAGGCATCGCAGGCCCTCATGTCCCCCCAACCGCCCCCTCACCAGAAAGCAACACAGACAACGGCAGAAAACCGACGTAGAGATTCTACTGTCAGCCAGTCCAAGCCCATCCTGCTCTTCAGTTCGCGGGAACTGGTACAGGGACATGTAATCCACAAAGATGGCAGCCTGGACGTGACCACATCATGCGTTTAGATCAGCTTTTAGGGAGCCTCAGGGGCTATGGACCTGGAAGTTCCCTGCTTCTTTTGCAAAAGGTCGACATGCAAAGTACCTTGTCTCGACTTAGGCTTTTATGCTCTCAGATGGGCTTCAACGACAGCTTGGGGAGCAACAGGGCATCTCAGGGCTATAGAACTGGAACATCCCAACCTTGCAAACAAAATCCGTGTTTGCGAGGCAGTGCCCAGTGGCGCCTCCCAGTCCTTGGCGAGTTTGTGGGCTGGGGCGATCTTCTGCAGGATCTCCGCGAAGGTGTCCAGCGCTTCTACCAGCACTCGCAGCCTCAGGCGCTGCAGCGGAAGTGACAAAAGAGGAGCTCGTCTCTCTACAGGACTTAAGCCCACAACGAGGCACACGGGACACAGCCAACAGATTGCGAGGGAGAACCTGTGTCGCTGGGCTGGGGCTCCCTGCTGGAACCTGTCCAAGTCTGGGATCTCGCGGCTCTCCCACGAGTGCGAGAGAGCCATTACCGAGAAGCGGTGAGTTTTGTCCACCCATCCGCCTGGAAGTTTGGCTTCCAGCTCCTCCTGCTTCAGCAGGGCCGGGCGGCCGTCCTTGGTCCGCATCCCCTCGGCTTCCTGGCGCCGGGGCATGGTGCGGCCCTCTGCCAGGAGCTCCCGGAGGAAATCGGCGCGGACGAGCCGCACCTTGGCATCCCGGCAGTACGTTAGTAGGCCGCTCTGGTCCCGCAGGCTGTAGATGGTTACCTGCGCAGGCGCAGCGAGCTTGACAAGCTTGGGGCACTCAAAGTGCGAGAGTGTGTGACATGAAGCGATCTTGTGATGATTTCTGGAGACTGAGCTTGGGCGCTCATTAACGACTTGAATCGGCTTGCCCACATGAACACGATCGAACACTTGCTGCTAGAAGCTAATTATCACGTTTCTGGCAGAAGCAGCCCTTGGGGACTTGGTCGGAGCGACTCTCCCAGACAAGATGGCATACAGTAGCAGCTTGCCGGGCGCGCGTCTGCGAACTACTACACGAACCTGGCATAACCTATACTATACGCATAAAGAAAAATTAGAACAACACATTGCAGCACCCGAACCCATCCGTCGGTGCACAGGAGGGACCAGGGAAGCGGATGCGCAAGAACCCTAAAAATGCAGCCGCGCCGCCTCGGCTTTGGACTCCGGCTCCTATGAGGCTCCCAAAAGCTGCTCCAAGCCACTTGCTGCGCACACATCCCCGATACTGCACCCGCAGCCACTGCAAAACCGTAAAGGGAAGGGCCCCTCCTCCTCCTTGTCGGGCTCGGAGGGCACGGCGGCTTCCTCGGCTCGGCTTAGCACATGCTCAGAAAGCGGCCCGAGTCCGCACTCCAAGAGAACCCTCCCTCTCCAATTCACAAGTGAATGAGGTCACAGGACATCACGGCGAAGTCGAGCATCTACTGTTGGGATTTGCCCATTGGACTCAGAGGGCATGTCATGCTTCATTCCTTGCATTCGCCATCAAAAGCCCAAGGAGCTGCCTCCGCAGGTTGATCGGCAGGAGATTCCTCCTTCACACCACCTCCAGATCCTTCCGCGGTCCGAACTGCCACAAGACCAATGAGCTGCCAAGACCCATGAGCTACGTACTTGTAGCTCTGTATGTGTGTGCGAAGATTCCCTGATGCGAAGAGCCCCGGAGCCCTGAGCAAGTTTCCGGCCTGCCGCCTGGCTCGAGGCCTGCCAAGTCTGCGCGCAAGAAAGTATCATAGATTGCAACGCAAGAGAATACTGCAAGGCCTCAACTACTCAGCGTTTGGGACCACGCAGAATTATCCAAGGTACAGGCATTACACACGGCCTTCTCTGCAACTCTGGCCGGATCCGGCTTGGCGTGTCGCTCCGGAAGCATGCGACAGTGTGTGGGCGATGAACTACATCGAACATCATGATACACAAGTTATCCCCCCCCGCCCCGCAGCTCTAAAATTCGCCTCGGCCTGGAAAATATTTGAAAATTGGGGGGGACTAAACCCAAAAAAACCTGAAATCCGAAGCCTAAACCTCAAAGCCGAAGACGAGAGAGATGTGGTAGTTACTGCGACCTATAGGGTTTGGAGTTTGGGGTTTAGGGTTCAGTTAGGGTTTAGCCTTAAGCCCTAAACCCGAGTTAAACCCTCCGAGCCTTGAGCCCTAAACCCTGAAAATCCTCTGAGCCTCAAGCCCAAAACCTTGTTTGAAAACCCGAACTCAAGGGCGAGGCCCTCCAACCATTCTCAAGCAGGTTGAGGGTGCCGGGAGGGTCCGGAAATAATGTTTCAAATGAGGGTGGGGTTTAGTATTGGGGGGAGGTGATTATGGCATAGCCTGTCTCTCTGGCCTTTTGGGGGACTTTAGAGGATGCGATCTGACCACTACATGCGATCTTCAGCTTGGAGGTCCAACATAGGCCTATGAACTCCAGGGACCTGGGCTGCATCTCATGCTTTCCCCACAGAACACTCCCAAACATATTGGTACCTTTCAACCCAGGGTTACCGGTGAAGATCCCGCTTCACGCCATCGGATTTCTTGCCAGGGTTGCTAAACTTTAAACGGTTGCCGGGTTTGTGAGGTTGCTGGGCAGAGCCACCTTTGCCTGGGAGGCTTCGCGGCGCGGGTCCGTCGAGGCACGCCCCATCCTCAGCTCCGAAAGGAATGAGACTTGGGAAGCTGGGATGCAACTGTCGCTCAAGAAAGCCTCTCAAAATCCTGAAACACATAAACACCTAAACCCCTAAGCCCATAAACCCATAAACCCTAAACCTCTGTGGCCCCTTTGAGGCTCCGGCTCTTTGGCCTGGGCCGGGTATCCTGCGGACTCTCCCGTCCTCGGGCCGTAAATGGAGGAGTCATTGCGAGTTATAACCTTTTTAGGATGGGGCTTTCGGGTGTTTGGGGTGTGAGGGGCTATAGGGGTTTTAGGGTCGAGGGTTATAACTTATAATTGTGCTGGTGAACCTACACAGAATTCTCGTGTTTTCTTGCTTGAACTGGCAGAGAGCACCCCTATGAAGAGCTCCAGAACCCACGAAGATGTGATTCTCGCTTGCCTTCCCACCAACAAAACCGGGACAAGCATCACAGGGGCGTGTGAATTTTCTTGCCCTGAAATTCAAGCATGGCGTGGATGAGACGATAAGGGTGTCCACCGCCTCAACTGGAAGCCAGAAACTGAGGCTCCGGCGAGGGCGATTTGGTGTCCTCCGTGGTGATTGCTTGGGATCCAGGCGGGGTCCGTTCAGGTGGGATCAAGAGAATCAACCGCGCCATCCTCCTGGGCCGATCCGTACATGGCTGCAGGCGAATGAAGGCACCTAAGTAGGCTGATTTCGCGTTATTTCGTGATATTTCGGGCACGTCTGAGCAAGGCGGATTCCTCTTTGCAAATTTAAATGAATCCTTAAGAGCCCTCCGCCCAGGAACCTCAAACTACTGAGCTTGGGAGGTTCCATCTCAACTCTGGAGGCATGAGAGAGCCGACGTCTAAGCTGTAGTGGTTCAGTTGAAGGCGTAATGTTTGGATACTTTATATATGACAGTTGCCTGGATTGTTAGGTGATCCTCTTGGAAATCAATTTGGTGGCCCCAGTATTTTCATATCCGCCTGAAATCGGGCTTCGGGCGCACGTCTCGGATCAGGAGACGAGACCAACTCAACGCAGTTGGACATTGAGCGATCTGCAACACAGACAGAGACTCAGACGCGGGCGTGTGCGCAAAATGGATGCTTGTCTCCTAGGCAGCTCAAGCAAGGCAAGTCACTTCCGCGGTGCATGAGCGGGCTTTGCCCCCAACCCGCTCAGGTGCGATATGCACAGCGTCAATGCCGCCGAAAGTCCTCTACGAGCTTAGAACCCTAAAGCATCTGAAACCTGAACCCTGGGAAACCTACAAACCTTCGAAGCCATGAATGTCACTATGCACTCTCGGCCCCGACAATCCTGCATACTTCTGGGACAGACCTCTGTAGGCTCGGATGCAGGACACAGCCAGCCCGGAACCCGGACCCCGAAACGCCTTTCGCTGCAAACCCAAGAGCCAACCCAAAGCAGCCTCCTTAAGAAACTTCTAGGGGCCTTTGAGCACCAGCACAGAAGTCACAGGTTCTACTTTACAGTCCCAAGCCTGTGCCAGAGCACTCTCTCGCAGCTTCTCACCCCACTTCAACGCCACTCAGTGCAAAAGGGGGGGCTCAGGAACCCGGAGGCCCAGAGGTACGAGAAGCACGACATGCCCTAAGAGCCCAAGGCGCGCGCCTCTCAGGCAGGTGCCACGCGTCGTAGAGACCAAGGGATGAGGCTCGGAGTTGCTACGTATATGGGGAGACTTTCACTCAGCAAGCTGCAGGGTGGCTAAGGAATTGAACAAGAAGTCAAGGCTTCAGAAGGTTTCGTGATAGTGGCTTAGGAACCCGAATGCGTGCAAGATGCAGATGGCGATATCTCAAGACTATTCGGATGCAGATCCTTTCCGGCACCGTGCTAAAGATCGTGTGGCTCAGAGCGTAGTGACTTTGGAACCACTGCAGGCAGAAATTGAAGTTGAAACAGTCATTTGCGACCTTCACAGGATCTGTTCATATCTGCTCTAGTCTGCCTCAGGTGTAGATCTCTGGTGCATGTGGAGAATGGTGCGGCAAGCTGATGAGATGCTGGAACTCCGAACGGCTGCGGAGGCGGCGGCAAGTCAGTCATGGCAAGATGATGCTGCGCAACTTCAGGATGCTATAGCGGAGCCACGAGAGTCAAGAAGCTTACCGCAGGTGAACATGAAGGCCTCTCATGCATGCATCCGGTTGAAAGGATGGACTGTGAACACAAGCCGAGGGTAAAAATGGGGCCCTGTGGAAACTACCAGTTGATCTCGTGCACACTTGCCTCAAACCCTGTATAGACTCAAAGGATCAAGATCTACACAACTCTCCACGCGCATCTGCAAAGCTCTTCGATCCATCCTGTATCCTTTTTCTTACAAACCCCTGTAACAATCCCGGAACCCCCTAAAAACCCCCAAGCCCTGCAAACCCTCAATGCCCTACTCCCCCTGGTTCGTACTAGAGAATGAGGAAAAAATCAGGGCCCTCTCTCTATACCCTTTGAGGGAGTAGATAGGGTACCTCAACCCCTCAGTCCCTACGAAGAACCAGCCAGTATACTTTGCACTTCAGGCTCTGAGACACCCTGCTTCGGGCTGGAGAGAAGTGGGAGGCCCCCTTCGGGGGGGTTCATGCCTTCTGTGCGGCTTAAGGTGTCGGGGGGCCTTAGGGTCCGGATATTTAGGGGACTTCAAGGGTTTTTGGGG